GGGGGCATAAGGGAAGGGAGAGGGGGGTTGCCTCTTGTGGGGTGGGACCTTTATTCGGGGTCACTTGAGTGCATGTTAACAGCCTTTTATAGAGGTCAGATTCTGGATTTCAACGAGGGGTCTGTTTGCGGAGAGGTTGGATTAGCACCGGTTGGGGATGATCTAGGACGGGGGTGTTAGACTCGATCTGGACTGGGAGGCTCCTCCCAAGCTGGATCCTGGGCCCATGTTCGGGTCAAGCAGCACAGACTCGTGGAGATGCAGGGCTGCAAGGGATCTCCGTAGGCCACCCAGTGCTACCCCCTGCCCAATTCCTGTCCAGACCAGCAGATACAAATCCATTCTCTAATCCAGCGGTTCTCGATCTGTGAAAGATTGTGCACTGCCAATTTAAAACAAAACAACCTTGAGTACCACCAGCACATTTTTGTCATATAAAGTAATTACAATACATCTGTTAACATGTACCACTGACAGGTTGTCTGCGTACCACTGGTGGTACTCATACCACAGACTGGGAACTGCTGGTCTAGCCTGTTCATAAAACTGCCATCAACTCTCTCACAACACCAGATGTCGTGCCCAAATCGGCCACAGGTAGAGCAGGGGAAGTAGTGGCTACACCCCGTGCTCCAGAGAAGGTGAAACCCCCACAGTTCGTATCAATCAGATATTGGCACAATGCAATCACAATCACCAGCCTTAGTTGCAGACAACACCTAATACAGTGTTGAGCTGGGGGTTTGCATCTGCAACGAGCTGGGGGTGTGTACCTATGCAGAGCTCTGGCTGGGCACCAGCACGGAGCTAGGGGCGTACAGCAGCGTGGAGCTGAATTTGGTGTGCCCCTGGCTCTGTGCTACCTGAACACCTCTCCATGCCACCGCTCTCTGCTGCGCACCCCTGGCAATGTTGCAAAGCTCTGGCCAGCCAGGGACCTGCAGCACTGTAGAGCTAAGGCCATGCACTTCCAGTAGCCCACTGAACAGCCAGATGCAACTTCCATTGGCTAGATCCAGCCTGCGGGCCATATGTTTGAGGCTCCTGGTCTTGACATAGTGATGCCTGTCTGCTATGGGAATTTCCCAGGCTTCTGGGCTTTGCTGGTTGCTGCATGGGGCTGGGGAGGGATTTTTTCCCCCTCCTGCTTTTATAGGTGTCGAGGTGTTTTCAAGCTTTCCTCAGAGGCATTGGGTGTTGGCTGCCCAACCTAGGGATGGTGACTGGACTGTGCCAAAGCTTCTGCTGGGACTCAAACCCAGAGGGTCCTGGCTAGACGGTCTTGCCCCTCCGCTCAGGGTCAGACCGTTCACTCTATTTGGGATTAGGAAGGAATTTTATCCCGTGGTCAGATTGGTATGGACTGCAGGGGTGGAGGGGCTTTGCCTTCCTCTGTAGTGAGTGGCATGGCCTCTTCCTGGGATCTCTTGAATGCATTTTAACAGCCCTTGTAGCAGCAGGATGTTGCCAGTCCTTGTCCCTCTGCTTTACCTGTGGCAGGTTTGGTTGATCTTGGTCTCTGGGCAATGGCCTTGTAATTGTGCAACTGGGTTGATTGTGTACTTTTAGGAATAGGTTAGACAAGGTTTTGTATGGGATGGTTTAATCAGGGATGATCCTATCCTCTACAGGGGGCTAGACTAGGTGACCTCCAAAGGGCCTGTCCAGCCCTTTTTTATGATTCAGTGTCTGCCTGCTAAAGTGCTTGTCCCAGAGCAAGTCTCATCAGCTTGTGATGGGAAACCTCTTGTTTTTGCTCCCTGTTTCAAGGCTCCAGGTAGCTACCACAGCGCACCCTGATTCAGCATGGCTCCTGGCCTCCTGACCACTTGTTAGCGCGGTCCACAGCTGGGCAGTTTTATTAATTCATTAGTTTAACACTGTTTGACCATCGGGGGATCTCTTCAAGTATATAAAAAGCATCAGTGACTGCCCTGCAGAGCCAGAATTAAGTATTCTTTAGATGCTAGTGGTGGAGAAGTGGTAGGAGTTGAAGATGGTTCCCAGATGGCTGGTTAGAGTGGTTAGAGCGGCTGGTTTGTAGTAGTTGGTTTGACAACCAGGAGCTGGGGTAGACCAGATCAAGGAACAGGATCCAAGTCATCTTGCTCTTTGTGTTGTGCCCTGTCTACTAAACCAGCTGCTCTCAGAGCAAAATGCTCTGATTTACCCTCAGCTTTGTGTATTGCTCCACCAGATTTGGGGAAGATCTCATTTCCCCCCTCCTGTCTGTCACAGCAACCCTACAGCAGCATCTACTGTGGACTGGTGTCAGGAGATGAAAGATCAAGCTGTAATATTGCTTGTCTTAGTTTGATCCACTTAATTTTTTTAATTGGCCCAGCATCTAATGAAGCAGACCATTGCCTATGAAAGCTCATGCCTTTCTGAACCAGTTGGTCTCTAAGGTGCCACCCTGCCTTGCCCACTTCTTTAATTAGTGTTTGTTAATGCGTTTCAAAGCTGGGACCTCTAAGCCTTTGGAGAGAAATTTGTTCTGAGGGTTAGCTTTGAAAGATGAGGTGGCAGTGGGCTTGAAGAGCTCTTGCCATCGGTGGGTTTTGAAGATCTCTTGCCAAAGGATGCCAGTGAAAGGTTTGGCTTGCTGACTTGACTTGTCGCTTTATTTTAGAAAGGACACAACTGCCTGGTCAGAATCAGCCAACGGACCTTCACAACCCGATGCTCTCCCTTTTGAGACAACCAGCAGAGAAGCCTACTTCAGCAGAGTAGAGACGTTCACGATATCCTTTCTAGTGCTGAGCTTCCTGTAGCAAAACCTGCTCTGCCTGCCACTGCCCTCCAAGCCCAGCAGCCCAGGCCTGCCCTGGCTCCTAAGGGATTCTCTCTACCCCCTTGCCCCGCCTCACAAGATGGGGGTAGTGTCCTTGAGAAAAGCCTCTGGCAAACTGTTGAGTTGGGCTCTGTGCGTGGCTCAGTGTATCTGTGTCTGTTCCTTAACCCAAGCACCCGCTCAAGTGGGCTGGCAAACCTCATGAGCTGTCCCCCCTCATCTGTGCCAAGTATGGCTGGACCAATGTCGAATGTGACATGCTGAAATGCTCCAGCTGCCAGGCTTTCCTCTGCGCCAGTCTGCAGCTGGCCTTTGACTTCGACAAGTGTGAGTATCCCGGCATCTCTCGCATCCTCCCTCTCCTGGAGCTGAGCTAAAGAGGAGACCAGAATTTTCAGAGTAAGCACTTGGCTCTAGATCTGGGTACTTTCTGTCCCTGAAAACGGAGCTGCTTGGGAGTATTGTCCACCTGGGCTCTGGGGGCCCTGCCCAGCTGATGTAGTGTGCAGAGCTATGGCTCGCAGGACTCCCCACAGATCCCGGTCCTTGCAGATGACATGGTGCCAGGGGCTCAATCTGGTTTGCAGGCCATGGGTTGAGCACCCCTGCTTTTAAAGAACAGATAATCTGCTTTGAGGCATCAGCAAATCTTTGGCTAATGGTGACGGGGAGGGTGGGAAACATTTCCATGTGAGCAGGTTATTCCATACCTGCCTTTTGGGGGTGGTTCTTGCATCATCTTGCTGCAGTGGCAGATGCTGGGCATTGTCAGAGACAGGGTTTGGGATTAGATGGGTTCATCCTCTGTGCGGTTTCCCATGGAACATAGAGTTTGCAGGACACTAAAAGCATAGCAAGGGAAGGTATCTCCTGGCTCACTGGCTCCAGGCCTCCGCTATGGCGTGTGGCTACCCCATAGGGTGCTTTTCATCAGCTTAAGTGTAGTTAGGTTCATTAACCACAAACCCCTCAGTTGTGCCGCTTGTACCTGGCCCCCTTTTTGCAATACCAAGGTGTCCCCCACCTTAGCTATAGAGCAGAGGTCAGCAGCCTGTTGGCTGAATCTTACCCACCGAGTCATTGGATCTGACCTGTGGAGTCAGGAGGCTTAGGTGGTGCTCCAGCAATGGGGGACTTGACTGGTGCCACAGTCGGGTGGCAGGAAGAAGTGGAGGTAGTAGCTGCATCCTAGTGTTGGCCCCCCCATGTGATAAGATTGGGTCCTGGGGGCCAGGCCCAGCCCCCTCCCACCCCCCATGCACTGGGATTGGGGACCCATCTAAACCCAGAGACGTCCAGTAGGAATCTGGACCTGGTGCCACCCCTTCCCACAGCCCATGCTCCAGGATTGGTTCCCAAGGGCCAGGCACTTCCCCCTCTTGCTCCCCATGTGCTGAGATTAGGGATTGGGGCCACCTTTGTCCAGCCCTACACTCCAGGATCCGGCCCCAGGTCCCAGGGCTTCCTGGTGGGCGTTCAGAAATTTGACAGCACAGAAGTGGTGCCACTGCTGCCCCATTGCCAAATTTCCAAACCAGTGGGGCGCCCCACAGGCTGGATGACAGGGCACCGTGAGCCGGAGGTTGAGTACCCCTGGTCTCTCTTCTCAGGAGTTCTCTGCTTGGAAACCTCCCAGCACTTAACGCCTGTCAGCAGGTGAATCAGCCGTGCTTTGAAGTGCGCTCGTCCGCTAAAAGAGATTCCAGGTCTTGTTTTTGCTTTGTCCGCAGTGAAGATCATTGCGTGAGAGAGAGAGAGAACGTGTCTCTTCCTCTTTGCTTGAAGTAAGCCTCGGGATGTGTTGTCTCCTTGTCCGCCAGGGGGTGCAGCCTGGCTCGTCTCGCTTAGCTCCATCCCAATGACTGATTGGCGCAGTGACTCTCAGCCTGGTACCGCAGCACCCTGGGGGGCCTCGAGACCCTTTCACGGGAGCTGCAGGTGCCACACAGTGTTAGCCCTGTTCGGTGTGCAGATGTGATTCACCAGATAAACCCAGAGACGTCCAGTAGGAATCCAGTGTGTCCCAACCTCTGCCCTGCTGTGATCATTCTGAGTTGTTTGCAACAGAAGAGCGGCTCTACTGTTCTTTCTGTGCTCAGGCAATGAGTGAAAGCTCAGAGCTGGCATTTTCCAAAGGGGGCCTTTGAGTCTAAAAAGATTGAGAACCGGTGGATTAGTGGGTCTTGCATGGAGCTTCAGAAAAATTTCTCCTCTCCCTACACTCTACCCCCCTGGCAAGTTTTACTGAGAATTTTGACCCTTCTTGTTAATTATAGTCTTAGTTTAGGGCAGTGTTGCCCAACCTTTTGGCCCCCTTGGGCCAAATACGTGGCACGGGGCCCATCTACAGGCCAGATCCAGCCTTGGGGCCAGGTTGCTGCCTCCCTGCCTTGCATGCCAGGATTGGGTCCTGGTGATACCCTTTCCTGCCCCCCCTCCCCCCCGGCACTGCCCTCTCCCTGCCCCATATGCTGGGATTCTGGTGTTGTCCCCCACCGCCCTGGTGCACTGAGATTGGGTCCCACAGGACCGGCGCCACCTCCTCTCAGCACTGTGCACTGGATCCAGCATGCAAGGCCCTGGGCTCCCCTCAAGTCCAGTGATTTGACAGTAAGGGAGCAGTGGCATTGCATTCCCACTGCCAAATTTCCGGACCCCCAGGGAGTCCCACAGCCTGGATGACACAAGGCCTCAGGATGGATCTGGCCCTTGGGCCAGAGGTTGAGCGCCCCTGGTTTAGGACAGCGGTGCCCAACCTTTGTCTTCCTGCAGGCCAGATGAATGGAGCCAGGTCCATCTGTGGGCCCAATCCAGCATGCAGGGAAGCACTGCCAGGGCTCAATCTGGCTGTGCAGAGCTTGGAAATTGGCAGCAGGGGAGAGGTGGCAGGGTTAATTGTCACTGCTCCCCCACTACCACATTTCTGGCCCTGTGGGGGGCCCTGCAAGCTGGATGATGCAGCTCTGTGGGGCAAGTACCCCTGGCTTAGGGAGCTCCTGGTCTCATTATTGCATTAATTGCTATTGATAATTGCACTGGCTTAGTATGACCAGCAATGTGCAAAGCAAAGGGGAGTTTGCCTTTTTAGTTGTAACACCACAGGATTTCATTTTAGTCAAGGCAGGGGAAGAACAGACTGTCATTCAATGTTTAATTTCCAAGGGGGTTTCTGGGTTGCAGTTACAGTGACTGCAGTGCGGTGTAGTCCTGTCCAAGCCCTCAGGGTACTGAGCAAGGGGCTCAGCATTAGCTATAAAACCTACCTGGAAAACCAAGTAATAGCCTACACTGGACTCTGGGTTGCTACTGGTGCCCATGCTGACTTTGGGGCATCAGTGCTGTGATGCAGTCACAGCCACGTGGGCATACCCTGAGTATCACCAAGCCACTGGCAGTCTCTGGGCTTCATGATTAGCATGAGAGAGGGCCTGTGTGCTGTGAAAGAGGGAGGCATTGGAGCAGGTCTTGCCACAGAGCAAATCCCATCGCCCTCAGCGCCCTCTGGGTTTGCTCTGCCTCCCATGGTCCCTGACCATGTGCCTGGACTGTGACCCATGTACAGGATCAGGTGTTTGCACTGAGGGGAGGGAGGAATCTGTGGGGAAGGGGAGCAAGTGGGGCAGGAGACCACCTGCTCCCTGGGGATAGAGTTCTGCCCAAGGACTCTGGGTGAGGCTGGGAGGCAGGGTAAAGCCGAGAGCTGGCAAGCCGGAGCTCACGGCATCTCCTCCACAATGGTGCTCTGACTCTAGGCAAACCCCAGATGCTTCCTGGTGGGGAGCATCCCCCTGCTACTAAAAACCCACTTGCCTTTCAGACAAGGAGAGGTGTGCGGAGCTGAAGAGAGCCTTGTGCAGTGCCCATGAGAAGTTCTGCTTCTGGCCAATCAGCCCCTGCCCAGGTAGGTCTGACCAAGCCCAGCTGGGGCGGTGAGGTAAGACGGGTCGCCAGTCTGTAGCTTGTAGGCTGAAGACAGCTCATGGAGGGGTTTTATGTAGCTTACCAATACAGGGTGGTGATGGGAGGGCACCTGGGCGAGCCAGTGGCAATTGGCTGGTGCAGGGGCAGGGGCATCAGGCGGGGGGGCCCCGGGGGGAGCCAGTGGCAATTGGCTGTTGCAGTGGCAGTGACTTCAGACAAAGCCGTGTTAATTGGGGCCCACTGTTGCTCAAAGGTTGCTGATCCCTGGTCTGAGAAGCTTCCTTCATTTCTTCCCCATCTGAAACCTGCTCTCATGCTAAGTCCAATATTTAGTGCTTCTCTAGCACGTTGCAGGCAGAGGTCCCTAAGCAGTCAATAGCCTTATCCCCATTTTGCACCTCAAAAGACTGAGGTACACGGTGGTGAAGTTCCTGGTGTGGCCGAGCCAGGAATCAAGCCCAGGCTCCTGAATGCCTTCCAGCACCTCCTCCACATGATGACACTTGCCTGGTGGCCATGGGGTAGCCTTGCCTCTAATTATGCTGCCCCTCCACGGGGTGAGAGTCGCTGTGCCCAAGGAGAGGTGACAAACCGAGATGTTATTAGAGTGCGGGGGCAGCGTGGATGACTTGGCCTCCGTTCCCCTTTCACAAATGCCTCTGAAGTCCTGTCCATGCTAGGAAATCGGCTCTGTGTTCAGCAGCAGATCAGGCGTAAAGGGACCCCCTTGCTCTGTGTTCTCTGATGGCAGGAAGATCCTTGCATTTGCTAGCCACGCTCTGCCCCCTCTCTCCTGTGGAGCAGCATGTGACTTAGGGAGCTGGTGCACACCCAAGCCTCTCGTGTGTGCTTTGCCCATAGATCGCTTTGCGGTTCTCCTGGTGGACGAGCCCATCGCACTGCTTAGCGACTTCCTGGACCGCTTCCAGAGCCTGTGTCAGCTGGAGCTGCAGCTGCCCTCCCTCAGGCCGGAGGATCTGAAGAACATGGTGAGTTCAGTCACCCGCCTTCCCTGGAGAGGGAAGATGAACACAGGAAGGGGCACTATGGAAGACCATGGCAAGGTGGCGGGCTTAGCAGTCAGGAAGTGTTGGATTGTCTGTGTAACCTTAACTCTGCCTCTTGGGCTTTCTGCCCTGCATGGAGGCTGCTGATGCCCCCTGCTATTGGAGCTGGTAACTTTAGACAGGTGACGTTCTTGTACCGTTGCTTTCCACGTCACTACATGAAAAATTCAGGGGTTGCACAGACTGCAGTCCCCAGATGCCGAAAGCTGTCAGGCCCAGCGTGTCACAGCACATATGCTCTACGTAGTGCTCTCAACAGCATCGGGTTCCCTTTATGTGGTGTGGAAACGCTCAGTGTAAAGGGGCTCCTCTCCCTGCAGAGGGACTGCAGCAGCCAGCAGGAGTCATGGCGGCGTCTGCCCATGCCTTCTGCAGCTGCTGGGCAGTGGTAGAAGATTTGATTTCTTCTCAGCAGAAATGTGGGTGCTGCCATGTTGAGAACTTCTAAGTCTGGACCTGCTCGTGAGCGGCATCTTATAACATGGGCTGGGCCTGAGCAGAATCCAGCCCTGTTTTCCCTACCGCATGAGGTGTTGAGACCTGTGGATCTCTCTGCTTGTAATGGTTAGCCCAGACCCTGGATCCAGTGGCCTTCAGACCATCTGCTATACTCGCATGCTGGCTTGTCTCTGTGGGACAGAAGTGAAGAGCTCTGTGGCTAGAGGCAGATCCCAGTCCTCTGGGGTGTTAGGGCTCACAGCGGAGCTGGTTGATTTAGCTCCCTTGTTCTTTGGCTGAGTTTCAGAAGCTGTGAGGGGGCTGAGGGCTGACCCCAGTTCTGTATCCCATCCCTCAGATGAGGGGAACATGCCAGCTGTGTCTGGTTCTGCTCTGGAAAGACGCTTTCTGATAATGGCACCAGAAGATGCCTCCCACACTGTCTCTGTCACACGTGCTCTTCTTGCAGGACCCCCTGCCTGCTTCCCCTGGGTTTTTTCAGCCATGTGCTTCCTCACCAGTGATGAAGGATGTGCCAGTCCTGTTTTCTACCTCTGATCCCAATGGCTAGAGTTTGTTCCTTTGGACAAAATCTATTTGCTTACTCTGATCACATGTGGGACAGATAGGAAGCATCTCATCCTCGGTGTTGGTTCTGCCCAGCTAATTACACAAAAAACTTGTAAGGATCATTAGTTGGGAGTTCAGAAAGCGCATCAGAGGAGCTGCTTTTTTCCCACAATTTCCGATTGTAGCATTTTTCCTTATGCTACCATTAGCCTCGAGACCACAGCATCGTAGCGTAGGGTGTTGTAACCCCCCTAAGAAGGGGGCAGTCCTTGCCCTCATGTGCCAGCTGCTTTTGGAACTCTGTTTGGGCTGGGAGGGTCCGGAGCCATCTCTGAATCATGTGTCTTTGCAGTCCCTGACCGAGGAGAAGATCAGCCTTCTCCTACATCTGATTGAGGAGGAGCTGGAACGCAAGAGCCCAGGGGAGAAAACGCCAGTGAAATTGGGCTCGGACCTCCTGCAGGTGCACGTCCCCGCCTGTGTTTTGGCACTGTGTGGCTGGACCTGCAGGTCAGTGTGACTCATACTGGACAGCATATTTTAATATGCCTTGTTGATATCCCGTGCACTGCAGAATGCCTGCACTTCGCTGTCTCTTGCTCTGAAACCTGCCTGGGGCTGAGCAGGGGATGGAGAGCAAGTGATTCTCTCAAGTGATCTTTCAGAACCTTGCTTTAAAATAGCAGATGCCATGGCTCTGCGGGCTGGAGGTTGAGCACCCCTGCTTCAAAAAACCTCGAGCTTTTAACAATCTCTAGCTGTTATGATGTCATGTTACAATGGCAAAGAAAACCTCTGAAAACACCAGGGGAAACTGATGTGGAGAGAGATGCCTGCATGAATTTGTAGAGCACCTGACATAGTATCTCTGACCTGTCCCCTTATATTTGTGGGTGGTGAATGAAAAACTTTCAAGGTCACCATCCCTAATTATTTCACTGCAATATCCTAGTGTGTAAGAAAGAAGAGGAAGGTGCAGGGTCTGGAAAGCCAAGCTGGTATTACTCAGAAAGTGTGTCTTAGTGTATTTATTTGCATGCTTAGCCATCCCAAATTGGGGTGCATGTGATAGGCCAATTAAGCGTGGTACCAGAATGGAGTTAGCAGAGGGGCTGTGCTGACCGCTCTGGCCAGGTGGAACAGGAGCAAAATCCTGTCTCCAGCATCACTCCCTCTCTTGCCGCTGCAAGGCCAGCAGAGGGTGTAGCCCTCTCTCAGATGCTGCCAATTCAGCTCCTAACAAAATGGAGGCAATTTGGCAGTAGCTCCAAGAGGATGAAGGCCAAGCAATGCTGGCGACTCTTGTTCCATGCACCTCAGCAGCCATCAAAAAGGCGAACAAAACGTTAGGGATGATGAAGAAGGGAATTGCGAACAAAATGAAAAGTGCTATGATGCCCCTTTATAAATCCACGGTGCATCCACATCTTGAATACAGCGCCCAGTTCTGGTCCCTGCACCTCAGAAAGGAGATAGAAAAACAGAAAAGGGCAACAAGGATGAGGAGTGCTATGGAAGGGCTTCCACATGAGGAGAGGCTAAAGAGGCCAGGCCTGGTCAGTTTAGAGAAGAGATACTTGAGGCGGGGACATGAGAGGGGTTTACAACATACTAAATGGAAAAGAGAAAGTCCATAGGGATTTATTATTGACTGTTTCTCAGAATGCAAGATCTAGGGGTCACAAAGTGAAAGTAGGAGGCAGTAAGTTTCAAACTAACACAAAAGGGACCGGGCACAGTCTTGGAGGAAAGGGGTATCAGGAGCTATTGAGCACTGGAGTGAAGGGCACGGCCTCTGAATCAGAACTTCAGAGACCTTGAATGCTGGAGGCTGCAAGTGAGAGAAGAACAGGGGAAAACAAACCTAGTCAGACCCAGGTCACCTTCCCTTTCAGCCTCCGCTCTCCACTGCTGTCTGACACAAGACTGGGCAAGATGGGCCTATGGTCTGACCCAGCCAGCGGCAGCTCTTATGTACCTTAGATGGAGGCTCAGCCCGTGGATGAGTCGGTGCCACGGCAGATGAGGCTGGAAAAATCCCTTCTCTTTCTTCTGCCTTCCCAAAACACAGCACCAGTGTTTATTCAGGAGGCACATGGTGTGCAGATAAATACAGTTTGTGGTGAGCGAAGGGGGTGTTGCTTCAGGTGGGCATGTGCCTCCACTTCATGGAAGTGCCTGTAGTCTGGGGAGCAACAAACCTGATGCTTGGATCTATTGCGTGTTGGGTGCTTGTCCTGTAAACCTGGCTGTCTCAAAGGGCTGCCCAGCCTTCTCCCTGACTCTCTTCTTCCCCCCCACCCCTGCTCTGAATCCAGCCCTGCGCCAGGGACCACGCACCTGCCTGTCATCACCTGCTCCCGCTGCATGAGGAAGGTTGGGCTGTGGGGTTTCCATCAGCTGGAGTCAGTTGCACCCGAGGCAGACCCTGCCCCCGGACTGGGCAGCGCCCCCACCACGCCCACCGAGGGGCGGCCCGACCGCCTGCCCCTGGTGCCCACATCCCCGCACAGGATGGTCACCCGGAGCCGAGACACAACGTTCTCTCCTGGCCCGGAGCAGGTAGGGTGGCCTCCCTCTCTCCTGGGGAGAGGCTTCTACTACTGGGTTTTGGACAAAGATGGTGGAGGCCTTTAGGCTTGTAAGGTTAGTACAGGGACTTCTCGGCAGTGCCCACTCACTAGCTGAGCCCAGGCTGGGCTCTTCCCCATGTAGAAAAAGATGTGATGGCCAGCTCTCTGGGCTGGCGGTGGCAGCATGTGTCCTACTTACAGGCCCTGGATGGGCGGGACCAGGGGCCTGCTGTGGAGGAGAGGAAGAGGGTCAGTCTCTTTCCAGTGGCTGTTCCCCTCCTTGATCCAGTGAAGCAGCAGTGCTGGCTGGCCATCATGATCACCCCTGCATCTGCACCTTGCTGGGTGGAGCTCTCTGCCCAGCACCAAAATTAGACCACCCCCTCTCAGTAACAGGAGAGCAACACTGAACCGGGCCAGGCCTTGATTCTGGTAATGCAGGAGGCAGCTGCCTCCATGCACTGCCTCACAGGGCCAGCCAGGCAGTGGTTGTGAAAATGGAGGGTTTTAAGGAGACCCTACACCTATGAGATGGCTGTGACGCTGTCCCTTGTGACAGGGAGAGGCCTGTCCCAACATGGCTCCTGGATGGAGACAAAGTCCTTTGGCTCCCTCAGGCTCCAGTAACTGAACCCAGCCTGTGTGCATGCAGAGGGTGTTGCTAAGTGCCTGACAGCGCCATAATCTGGATTTGCCTCTATGTAGCAAGACCACCTCCCTTTGACCCCCTTGCAGGAAGACCTGAGGTCCATGCTTTGAAACGCAGCTGCTGAGAGCGGCAGTCCCACCAGCAAAGGTGATTCCTTCTGGGGCATTTCCCACCAAGCCTGGTCTCTCTTCTGGAATATCAGGCATCTCTAGGAGCTGGTATTGTATGCTACCAGTCAGCACCAGTCCATGGAGCCCCACCAGCCTTTGAAGCTGAGGGCAAGGTAACGTCACTGCCTTTAGGGGCACTGGACTCTGCACCAGTGAAAATCCCCTTCTTCTCCTGGACCTCAGAAACAGAGGTGCCAAAATGCATGGAAACAGCAACATCTGCTACTGCTGAACTCCCTGCTGGGTGCAACACTTCCTGCGAGGGAGGAGGCACCACCCCCAGGCACCAGGCAGCACTTATCTCCCTTGCCTGCTGTGCCAGAGAGGCCTCAGCCAGTGGTGTAGACAGCAGGCTGGGGCAGCTGGGAGGGCCTTGCTGCCGGAGCTGCACAAGGGAGTCCTTGTCCAGCACTGTGTCCAGGTCTAGTATTCCCAGAGCAGGGGGCTTCCCAGAAGGGCAGGGTGCCCTGGAGCTGCGTTTGCCTGGGCTGGTTCTGACTTGTGGAAGAAGAGACGAAAGAGAAGTGTCTCTCCAGTCTGCTCCCTACTGGTTTCCAGAGCTGTGCCCAGAAGGACAGGGATGGGTGCAGCCGGGACCCCCTGTGCCATGGAGGGGTATGAGCTGTTTCCCTTGTGGCCAGAGGAACCCTGCTAGCTACTGCCATCTCTTGGGACCTGACCTCTTTGCCTGTCTCCCCCTCAGCACGAGAAGAGCCCTTCCCCTGTGATGTCCCGTGCGCGGAGCTGGGACAGCCTGAGCCCCATGGACCGGGCTGAGCCGGAAGCAGCCAGCCCCACACCACGGAACCGCCCAGTGACCCGCAGCATGGGCCAGGGCGACAGCGTGGAGGTGCCGTCCAGCCCACATCGCAGGGCCAAGCGGGCCCGGCTCTGCTCGTCCAGCAGCTCGGTGAGTGCCTCCTAGGACCTCTGGGATGAACAGCACTGGGCGTTCACTTCCTGCCCCCAGAGCTCCAGGATCAGGCGGGCGGCGGGGGGTCCTGGCTGCCAGGCCACAAAATGACTGCCTCTGAGGAGATCATGCAGGCAGCTTCATGCTGGTGGATATTGGGCTGTGACAGGGCAGAGGCCACATTGAGAAGGCACCTCCCTGGTTTCCCCCTGCCCCTCCCTGGATTTCCCCTGCCTCTTTCCTATCAGCCTGTCCTGTGTTGCCCAGTAGATGGGATGGCACAGATTGCTCCCTGCAGGCAAGCCCCCAGCCTCTTGTGGCCAGAGCCCAGCAAAGAGCCGGTCACTCACTGCCGTAGGGTTGCTCCCTCGTGGGTTTGTCTTCTGGACTGGATACGGTCGTCATGTCCCCTCCTTGGGGAGCTCCTGTCTTAGGTGAGTCTCTAGGCAGACAGATCATGGTTAGAGGAAACTCCCTTCTCAGCCACGGGAGGGAGGTTATGGATATGGGAGTTTGCACCCTGGCTGGAGGGTCTGAGTCTGGACCAACCAGGCAGCTGTGGGAAGTCCCATTCCTGAAGGCTGCTTTCAGCCTGCAGTGAATTGAGATCAAGAAGAACCAGGTCCCAGTGTCCCCATAGCAAAGTCCCATCATCGTGGTTAGCACCAGCCCTATGTGACTGTCTGTAGAGAGGCCAGAGTGGAGACACAGTAATAGGAAGACCCCTGTTTGTCTCTAGATGACCTTCAAGGGGCCTCCTGGTAGCTGGAGGTGGGATGACTTCAGACCGTGTCCCCAACCCCACAGTCTAGTTAAAAACAAGCAGTTGCTCCACTTCTCCTGTCCTAAACCTCATCCTGCCTTTTTCCCTGCAGGACACTTCCACCAAGAGCTTCTTTGATCCCAGCTCCCAGCACCGTGACTGGTGCCCATGGGTGAGTGTGGTGGAGAAGGCAACCCTGGAGGACTCCAGTGACGCATCGGAGCATACGCCAGCAAAGGCCGAGCCTGGCTGGAGGGCCATGCTGAGCGTTCTCCTCGCCACCCAGAAATCAGAGACACCAACTGATACGGAGCCCGTGGTGAGAGCGCTAGAGATTGGTATCCTGCCCTGAGCCCTGCTCCGGTCTCTGAACCACGCCCCCCTCCCAAGTGCCTGATCCAGTTTGCCCCAGACTGCTCCTTAAAGTTCTGCCTTGGTCTGAGTTCCTCTGTGCACAGGATGAAACCCTTCAATTGAATATGGGTGGAGACAGAAGCAGAAATGTCCAAGCTCGGTTGAAAGCTGGGTTTAACCCCAGAGACTTACCTCTCTCTCGAGCCAAGCCTATAGTCATTGGACATGCCGCCCCTATATAGCATGCATTGAAATGACTGTAAATAGTACCAGCCATTCTGCAGTCCACCCCCTGGTTAACCTGGGTTCATCTCCCTGTGTTCCTGACACTGAAGCACTTGGTTAACAGGCCTAATGCAGTCTGGGGCAGGAGCTTTGAGGAGATGGAGAGGAGATGAGGCCCCAGGCACGTCCTGGCAATGTGCGACTGGCACTTACCATCAAACCCCTTGTGTCTGATGAGTCAATTAAGGGAGGCATCATTCAATTCTCCCCTCCATGTCTCCAGCTCTGGGGGCCTTGAACGTCCTTGGGAAGGGCCAGGGCATTGTCCTTCCCCCCAGTTCAGCCTTTTCCTTTCGTTCACAACAAGACCAGGAGCCCTGGGTGCCTGTTCCAGATGTGCTGCATGCATCTGTTACCCACAGCCAATGATCAGGATGCTTCAGTGTCAGAGCTGGAGCTCTGGGTTCCAGTCCTGGCTTTGCTGCCCATAGTCTGTGCCTCAGTGTCACCATCCATGCAATGGCCTTAGCTTAGGGGAAAGTCTGGGCAGCACTTGTCCCTCCCAGCTGGGAGCTCAGGGGGCACCATTTGGTAGCGTGTGTTTGTCCTTCCAAGATGCCACCCTTGTGTGACCCAGTGTCTCCTGCCTGCAGAGCCTCTCAGTGAAGTCCTGCAAGGTGTTCCGCATCTTCCGCCGCTGGGAAGCCATGTGCTCCTCCTGAGCCGACCGCCCCTTCCCGCTCAGCCCCTCCTTCTGCCTTGCAAGAGACCTGCTTCCTGCTCCCCAGGAGATGTTTCGCAAGAGCCCGTGAGCAGCGGGAGCCTCTCCCCAGGGCCTGTGGGAGTCTGCTGGGCTGAACCTGGCCCTTGGTCTGCACCAAGGCCCACGGGCCTTCAAGCAGGAACCTAGTGGATCCACAGGCACTCCCTTCCCCTCCTCGCACACCGGCCTGGGGGAGTGAGGAGGCTTCTCCTGCCTCTTCTCAGCTGCGACATCCATGCAGCCCAGCCTTGCCCTCACTACAGACTGTGGGGCAAGCAGGGGTGTCCGAGTGCTGCTGGCACTGCCAGCCTGGGGCAGGGACACGGCAATAAAACATTTCATGGGTTTTTTTTCTTACTAGACTGAGGCTCCTTCCTTCTGGCTGTGGGACATGCCAGGATCCTGCTTCTCTAGGGACCCAGGGCCGTGCACAGGCACGGCCCCTCCACTCAGCACCCCCCACTCAAGGGAAAGGCCAGGGAGGTCTTGCCCATGGGCTATGGGGACACCTGACAGGCCTGAGAGCTTGGGCCTGGTGTTTGGAAGAGGTAGGTTGGATCCCCAGAGCCACCTGCTAAAGGACCCCCTGAATCACAGTGCCTGGAGCTGAGCGCAGCCCTGGGGGGAGCAGAATTGGGCCCAAGGTGAGTGGCAACCAGCAGATGCCTCCAGGCTGGCACTTTCAATCCTGGTGAATGCCTGCATCTGCTGGCAACAGGGCTTTCCCTAGCTGTGCTCACGTAGCTCTGGGCCTGGCAGGCTCCCTGCATCCTGGGAAGGCCCCAGGTGCTTTCTGCTCACAGCCCTCAGTCCTGCTGCTGAGGCCCTTGTGTTGCTCTTTGAATCCCATTCAGCTCAGGCTGAGCCAGCAGTGGGCTGTGGCCTGGACCTCCAGCTCCCTGAGGGGCTGCCTGCCAGCACGGGCTCTGTAGAGCCCCCACCCAGCTTCTGTTTCCCACACGCCCCTCGCTGTGGCGCAGCTCCCTGGTGGCGCCCTCAGGGTGCCAGCTCCTGCCTCTGGGGCCCTGGCACCTTTGTGTTGATCAGGAGCAGGGGGAAGTGGGCGGCTGGCACAGCCCTTCCCTGCTGCGGATCTCAGCCATGCTTTTGCCACGTCCCGTCTCCTAGTGATAAATCCAGGCCGGGCAGCAGGAGGGGCTCTGTTGCACTTGGCCAGGATCTCAGGGAGCCCAGGCAGAAATTATTGGTTTGTCCACCAGCCTGCAGGGAACTGCATCCTAGTGCATCCCCTGCAGACACCCATCTTTGGCCTCTGCCCCAGAGGGAACTGTGGCCACACAGCATAACTGAGGACTCAGGATCGCTCAGGATCAAGGGTGACTGCGCAGATCAGTGTCAGGCTAGGAGCAGAGCCCGGCTCCCCTGAGGCCAGCCCTGTACCCTGGCATAAAGCATCTGGCCTGTTATGATTTCTGTAGCTGCAAGCATCCTTGTCGTGGGTGGGTGAGCAACGCAGTACTGTCCCACAGAGGCACAGGCTGGTACCTACCTCAGGTGTGGGCATGCAGCACGTTTCCCCCAAAGTAACTTAACCTGGCTTTTATTCCTGCTAAATTTACTCTGTGGGAAGGGATGGATGTGCCTGCTCACTCAACCTGGCTGGCCAAAGTGGGTGTTACAGCACCTCAGCAGTAGGTGTCAGGGCCCCTGGTGTGTGTGAAGCCAACGTAACAATGGCATTGAGAGCGGGCACCTGATACGTACGCTGGAGTAACTCTCCCCGGGTCAATTCCCATCAGACTTCCTCAGGAATAATTGCATGGGAGTCCAGTGTTTCCCCCAGTCTGCTCCATATTTCCTCCAGAGTAAATGGAGGCTGCTCTGGAGTCCCTGTGTTTTATGTTGGTATCCCATGCTCCCTTCCCACCTTGCGGCTGGCAGCCCCTCTGTTCTGCTGGCTGTGCTCCTACAGAGATTGGGTGCCCGCTGTCCAGAGTAAGACATTATCAATCCAGAGCCTCCCCTGGCTGGGGGTCCCCTGCGAGGGCCCAGGTGGGGGGCCTCACCCCAGCCTCCCGGCCTGACCTTGCCCACGTGACCCCGCACTGGTTTTGTGGATGGTTGGGCCCCCATAGGCAGAGGATGGAAGTGAGGTGTCCCAGTAGCCTGGCCTAGTGGAGATCATGGGACCAATCCCCTGGGTTTGCTGGGTGTCTTGGGCATGTTGCAGGCTCTGTGTAGCCTGGACAAGTGCCAGTGTGAGTTAACCCCTGATAATGAACACACACGTAAGCACTAGGGCAGGGGAGACCATTCCCCAGCAGGGATGCAGAGCTGGGGCTTATCCCCCCAATCTCACCCCCTTTCCACTTAGACCCCAGCTAGCTCGCTTGAACCCTGACAGTCCTCCAGCGCCTTCCCACAATCCCTTGTGTGGCTAGAAGGACAGCCAGGTTCTCCCACGGTTCCCTGGCTCAGAGTGCAAGGGATTGTGGGATATGTCACTGGAGGCCCTTGAAGCGTGCACACAGGAAGGTGGCAGTGGTGAGCGCACCATAACCTTGGACAGGCTGGGGTGCTCCCTGCCCATCCTCCCGCAGCCCTGGGCTCTCAGGTGATGCCAGCTGGAGTGAGGAGGGCCCGGTGGGTTGCTCTTGCAGAAACCCAGGTTCTCCATCAAGGATCAAAAGGCCAATGGAAAAGAATCCACGTCCCCATGACAGGCGGGAGGTTTTGGTCATGTGGGTGGACACGCGTGTGGGGCTGTGTCAGGTCTTTGGGCTCTTGGTGTATTAGAAATGCACGTGCTGCCCCTTGCACCATCTGACTGGGGCCATGCAGCCCTGGGTCTCACACTGTCCTCACTGCAGCCCCTTGCACTTCCCGGAGGGAGGGGAGAGAGGACATCCTTCCTGGCCCCGTCTTGGCAAGGGGAGCCCCTGCAGCCAGCACCCCCTTTCCCGGTGTCTCTGGCTGCAATGGTGTTAGGGAGCACAGCTGTCATGGAGGGCTGTGGGGTACCCACATCTCTCCCACGAGGGCCTCTGAGCTTGGCCTCTGCTTGTGCAGCACGTGGGGCTTTGCCCATGGTGCGTGGAGCCTGGCACAGGTCCAGCGCCGGGTCCAGTCTGCCTGCAGGAGGCACATTCAGCCCTGGGGGAGGTGGCAACTTGGGTCCCAGCAGGTGCATTGTCACCCCAGAGCATCTAGGATGCGGTCTCTCAGCCCGGCGGGTGGGGAAGGCAGCGTTTCTGTCCCAGCAATTGATGCCTCCAGCATGGCTGCAGGATTCCCACTGCACCAGCCTGTCAGCCCCAGCTGAGCTCCGAATCTAGCAAGTGTCCTCTGGAGGTTTCGGGCTCTTTGCTCATGTGAGAAGAGTCCTGCTTTCACGTCCAGCCCATGAGCTCGCACACCAGGACCCCTGCTAGCAGAAGAACCACCTGGGTCTTATGCCCAGAGCAAGTAACCCTGGAATAAGTACCCTGCCCACACGAGATCTCTCCTCCCCAGCTGGGATGGGGATGCAGCCTTCTACTCCTCAGTCCCGCACCCATGCCCCTGGCCCTGAAAGAGACTCCCCTTTGGCACGTGCAGTATAGAGTCTAGGACATGCTGTAAAGTTCTGGCTGTGTCCAGGAGAAGGCAGTAGAGCACGTCCCATCTGGCTTCTTCATTGTCGAGTATAGCTATTATCACAGCTGTGATGTCATGTGGCCCCACCCCAGTGGACATCCTGGGCATGGACGAGTCCAGCCTTGGTCCCTGTCTAAAGGATGGGGGGTGGGATGTGCCAGTGACCACCCTTCAACGAGTCCCTTCCCCTCCAGACATGACTTAAGGGGGTCGGAATAAAGGACTGGGGACCCAGGACACTGGGGTCTTGTTCCTACCTGTGCTACTGACATGTGCAAGCCTGGATGAGGTGCTTCGATTTGGCGTGCCTCAGTTTCCCCATCTCTAAATTGGGCCAGCTGCTGTGAGATGTGTGGCCAAAGGGGCTCACTAAAGCCTTGATCTGAAGCTATCAGACCCCAGAAGGCCATATCACTGCAAAGCCCAGGTGCTGGCTGGTTTGAAACCCCAGGGCCAGGTTCAACACTGGCCTGGGCTGCGCATTTAATCTTCTTCCCATCCCAAAGAGGCCGGGGAGATCTCTGTAAGAAGGGAGGAGGACTGCATGCGGCCAGGAGCCCTGACATCAGGGCGCTTATGGACTCGTGTGACCTGGGATCTGGCACCAGGGTTGGCTGGGCACGGCTGGCTGGTAGAGAGCAGAGAGGTGGGAGCTAGGCGAGAACGAGGTGATCCGCCCTGCAAAGTGCCATATGCACGGACACAACTTCCTGCACCTCCCGTGTCTCATCTGTGTCCTCTCAGCTCCTCCGGCCTCAGGGACCTGCCAGGATCCCAGGCCTGGCTTGGAGGAGGACCCTGCCCCTGGACACGAGGCACCAACGGCACTGTGTCAGGGTGACTGGAGCACTGGGAGTCGCTGCTGGACCAGGACCTGTTGGCACCAAGACGCCACTGAAGGGACAGGGATGTCTGTAGGGTGAATCAGCTGCTTTCTGGGCTTTCCAGGGCTGCCTGTGTGGCCGGTTCTGCCCTGGGGACATGATCATCCTTGTAAACCCAGGGCTGGTTCCCCCCAGCTGTTTCCTCATTGCTGGCCGGTCGTGGAGCTGTGCCAAGCCAAGTCACCTCTCAGGCCTGCGTCAGGAGGTCACATCTAGTCCAACGCCCTGCTCCAAGCAGGACCAGCCCCAACTACATCGTCCCAGCCAAGGCTTTGTTTAGCTGGGCCTTAAAAACCTCCAAGGATGGAGAATGCACCACCTCTCTGGGTAACCTGTTCCAGTGCTTCACCACCCCCCTAGGGAGAAAATCCTTCCTAATATCCAACCTCAACTTCCCTTGCTGTAGCTTGAGCCCATTGCTCCTTGTCCTGCCATCTGCCCCAGCCCAGCTCCAGCCTCTTTGCAGCCCCCCTGCAGGGAGGTGAAGGCTGCGATTCAATCCCCCTCGGTCTTCTCTTCTGCAGACTGAATCAGCCCAGTCCCCACAGCCTCTCGTCACCAGTCCTGACCCCCAGCCCCCAAACCATTTTTGTTGCCCTCTGCTGGACTCTCTCCAGTTTGTCCACATCCTTTCTGTAGTGGGGCCCAAAACTGGACACAGGACTCCAGATGTGGCCTCACCAGGGGTGAATAGAGGAGAAGAAACATTTCCCTCGATCTACTGGCAACGCTCCTACCAATGCAGCCCAGGATGCTGTTCTCCTTCTTGGCACCGAGGGCACACTGCTGGCTCCTGTTCAGCTTCTTGTCCTGTCCCCCCAGGTCCTTTTCTGCAGAGCTGCTGCCCAGCCCGTCACCCC